GCGGGAGCCCCGGCGCCTCCGCGGGAAGGGGCAGAGGCCCAAGGGCTGCCCCCAGCCCGCCTGTAACGGGGGAGGCTTCAAGGCGCATGGGGCAGAGCTCGGCTCCCGGGGGCGTCTCCCCACGCTGCACTCAATGCATGGTGGTCACAGCAGCCCCACGCGGGTTGGTGGCATCCGAGTGCCAGGGTCCCCCTGGGCTCTCCACCTCCTCTGCAGCATCGTTACTAGGGCCTTGGCTTAGTGTCCAAGTCTATAGAGCTTTGACACAATAAATCTCCTCACTTTCTTAATTCCCCCCTCCCACCCAGCTTTCAACTAGACCTGCATAATTCCAGGCAAAGGGCAGAGTTACATAATGCAGAATTCCGCCATTCTCTCCTTCTCTCCCCCCATCCAGGAAGGGGGAAACATGAATGAGATAAAGGAGACCCTACGGAACATAAAGCAGAACTACAGGCTCTTCCAGCAGCAGCAGTTCACGTTCATCACCGCACTGCAGCGCACCCGGGAGAACGCGCACGACCTGATCAGACCCGTGGCCACCATCAGACAGGTACCCGGGACCCAGCAGATCCAGCACCAAGGGAGCTGCTCACGGGAGCAGGGAATAACTCACTGTTGTGCTGCGCTTGGATCCAGTTCTGTGCTGAGCAAGTGCTTTCACGAGGGGAAGACGCACAAACCCCTCCAGTAGCAGTGCGGGTAACTGCAAAACAGTGTCAAAAGATTAAGCAGGGGAAAGAAACACCTACATTAAACTTCCCCATTTACAGAGAAGAAATTATAGCGCAGCATCACTTCCTCATTGAGTTAAACGCTGCCATTTCGCTGCCTCTGCGTAGCTGGAAATACAGGATACAAAAAAGCAACAAAGCAGCCCTCCTTCCCCAGCCACACATGGAATCCATAATCCTTAACTTGTAACTAGCTTGGCTGCCTCTTCCCCTGGTAGTGGGGCCGTTCGCTCTTTCTATAGCGCTTATTAAAAATAATGGCTGTGTTACTGAGATAGGATGATGGATTGAGGGCTGAAAGTCTCAAGTGGACTAGGACTTTTCTGGGTTGTAAGTGAATTGTCTTGGAATTTTTATAACATAGAATGTTTTAAGTAGTGTGAAGAACTTTGATTTTTCTTCGATCTCTTTCAGTGTTCTAATATAATATATATATATAAATTGTGGATGTGGGAAAGCAGAACCCAGGCACAGCATCCAGTGCAAGCCGAGACCAGAGGAAAAGCCACGTTGTCCTTAGCCTCAGGACACAGAAGGGAGCTGGAGGGCTGGTGAAGACTGACTCCTGCGTGGAGAAGCACATGAGTAAAAGAAGCAATAGAGAGAGAAATACCTGTGCTCTCAGTCTAAAGCCATTGTAACGCCAGCTGCTCAAATGCAGCCACTCCTTTGGAATTTAAACAGAAAATATTCTAATAAATGCATATTTATATAAATATAAAACAAATATATAATACCTAGATGGAGAAAAAAGGCTGCTTTGTCCCTTAAAAGCTGTCTGCAAGAGCCATTTTAGTTTTGAATGATGAAACTTCTTAGAGAAGCAGCAGAAATAACAGCGCTGAGCAGTCCTTGCAAACAGTTGATCACATAACATGCCAAGATACTTCAGCTGTGGGCCCAGGGCCTTGGTTCCTCACGCTGATGATGCAGCTGCATTAACTCTGCTGGTTGATACAGACAAGAAGTAGTCCTGTAGCCCCATTAATGAACACCCAGGCTAAAAATGCTCTTCTCTTTAGGACTGTGTCTGCCCATAGCAGCAATAAAAAAAAAAAAATTCCTGCCACTCACAGGGACATATATTGAGAGAATAGTGTGGAATGAGGAAGCTGCAGTGGAAGTGGACCCTGGGGAGCCATTTAACTTTTCTTACAAATCTGCAGAGAGTTTGCCCAAGTACAGACTGTGGCTCTATTTGTGTGTACAAATGGAATTGATTTTGGAACAGTGAGTTCATGCTTATCTTGAAATCTTAGAAAAAGTACTGAGGTGTAAGAATCCAGCTATGGTCAAGGACAGCCCTTCTCTTTTGTATTCTGATGACTTGTGTCTGAAGTACCTGTAAATTTCTTTGGAGAAGTTACTTCATCTCTGGCAAAATGAAGAAAATTGGCATAGTGACAAAAAGCTGCTTTTCCCATTAACAGAAACTACACTTTGAGAACCACTCCTCTAGCACCAGCTT